TACCACTCCAGCAACCCTCAGTTTGTTTCCTGAGATTAAGAATTCCTCATATCAGTGAGGTCATATGATACATGTCTTTCTCTGATTGACTGCTGCTCTTTTATCTATATCCCATTTGCCTTAGGGCATGCAATCTCCTAGATCCTGATAGCTGGGGTTTTTTGGCCATACTCAAACCTCTCCTCTTGTGAGAATTATGATATTTGGATTTCTTTTTATTGTCACTGATTTTTTTTTTGGTCATTTAAGGAGCTTGTCCCATTAACTCACAGTCTTCCTCTGCACCCAAATTCCTGGCATCATTATAGGACTACCAGTCTTTATATGGATAGTTCATTCCACAACCTGGCCTCCATATTTCTTGAGCTCCTTATCCTCAATGACTGTCTCCTAAATTCTATACTAGTTAACCATCATGGATATCCTGAACTTTGTCATCACCTGGAAATGTTTTGCCTCTAAAATCTTAAATTCTAACAAAACTGTTTTTGGCCAGAACCTCATATTCTTCCACTTCTTTTATTTCGTTACTCCTACCACACCCATTATCATTTCTACAGAGACTTTCATTCCCTCCTCTCTCACTTTTCTCCAAGTTCATAATTTCCATCATAACTTCACTTTTCTTATCTACTCTAGACCACTTAACCACTCTCTTGACTACATCTTTCTATGTCTTTATGCTTTCATTCTTTGGCACATCAGACTTAAGAATCTTTGACTTTGGTGCAACTGAAGAATATCACAATCATGTGAAAAGTTGACATTACTTATTTTTTTATTTTTTAAATTAAATTAAATTAAAATCAGTTAACTAACATATAGTGTATTATTGGTTTCAGAGGTAGAGTTCAGTGATTCATCAGTTGTTTATAACACCCAGTGCTCATTATATCATGTCCCCTTCTCAGTGCCCATCACCCAGTTACCCCATCCCCTTGAGAGGATGCGGAGGAAGGGGAACCCTCTTACACTGCTGGTGGGAATGCAAGCTGGTACAGCCACTCTGGAAAACAGTATGGAGGTTCCTCAAAAAGTTAAAAACAGAACTACCCTATGACCCAGGTATTGCCATTATTTATTTATGACATCTGACTTTGGTTAGACTCTTGGCACTTCTCAGCAAGGCTTTCATATATTCCTCAACAACTCTAGTTCCTATTCTCTATCAGAGTTATCCCAAATTATAAACACTTTCCTTAAAGTCCTCTACCCCATTACTGGGCCCTTTCTTTTCATAGATGATTCTGTTTCCTACTATACAGAGAAAATTGAAGCTTTTAGGTAAAATCCTCTTAATTTTACTCCCACATGTATAGAGATTCTCGATATCTGTATCCTTCCTGGTTTGAAGTCTGCTTGTCTCAGAAAAAGAGGTGGTCTCAGATTCTTACATATTTAACTGTTTAGGGTTCAGTCTCCCTTAGATGTCTTACAGGAACCTCAAACCCCATATGACCAAAATGGAAACTATATCTTTACTTCTAAATTTATTTTACTGAATTCCTTACTTTGGTCAATGTCACTGTCACCCACCCAACTACCCAGCTAAGAAACTGAGGTGTCATCCTCCATTCCATCCTTTCACTCTATCTCTATACCTGATCAGTAACCAAACTCTATAGATTCTACATCCGTAACATCTCTTCTATATGTCCCTTCCTCTCAAGTCTGACAGAGAATGATTTACTGCTGCCCTTTATTGGCTTTTGCCTGGACAATTACAATATGCTTTCTGGCTAGTTTCCTTGACTCTATTCTTGTACATATACCTCCATCCATCCTTTATACTTCAGCTAGAGCAAGCTTTCTAATTTGCAAATCTAATCACATAGACTCCTGCTTAAAATCCTGGAATGACTCCCCATTCTCTGCAGGATGAAATTCATACTACTTTACTAGGTATTCAGGGCTCTCCATGATTCTTCCTTTATATTAGTTTCCTATTGCTGTAACAAATTACCAAAAACATGGTGGTGTAAAACAATACAGATTTTTTTCTCTTATAGTTCTGGAGGTCAGAAGCCCCAAATTAGTTTCACTGAACTAAAGTCAAGGTGTTAGCTGGGCTGGTTCCTTTAGGAGACTCTCAGGAAGAATCTGTTCCCTTGCCTATTTTATTTCCAGAGGCTACTGACACTCCTTAACTTACTCCCCTTCTTCTGTCTTCAAAGCCAGCAGTGTAGCATCTTGCTTCTGTTGTCACATTGCCCTCTACTCTTTCTGTCATCAACTATCACCTTGCTTCCTTCTTCTAAGGATACTTGTGATTATATTTAGCGCTCAACTGGATAATCAAGGAGAACCTCCCCATCTCAGGATCTGTAATCACATCTTCATGGTCCCTTTGGCTATATCAGGTAACATTCACAAGTTCTGGGGATTAGGACCTGGATATCTTTGGGAGCCATTACTTGGCCCACCACATCCCACTTCTTACTCTCTAAGTTTATTCCTTGCCAAACTCCTGACAGCATTTATGCTTTAGCTACTCCAGATTTTTTCTAGTTCCGTAAAGCATCATACAGTTTCTCATTTTGGTGCCTTTTATTATTATTTTTTCTCTATCAGGAATGCCCATCCTACCTTTCTGGCAAAACTGACTTATAGTTTAAGGATCAGCTCATGTGTTGCCCATTCTATTAAAGCATTTCCCAATTTCTCTTCCTCAGGTACAAGTGACCATTCTGCCCCTTCTTTACTTTGTATAGGTTTTTGACATAGCACTGATAATATTTTATTGCTTTTATTTATATGTATTTGTATGTTTTTTCTTGCCCCAGCTAAATAAGCTCCTGGAAGGCTGGTTTTTGTTGATCCACACTTGGGATATATAGATGTTGAATAATGAGATAATAAAGATCTAACCCACCTGTAAAAAGATTTCCTTCATCCATTACCACATTCACTTCAATATTCCCCTCATCTGTAAGAGAAGACAGAATTTTATGCATAAAAAATAATAGAAATAGAAGACATAAAAGTCATACCCTGAAGTACAACACAAAATTCAGCAAATTTTAATGATTTGCTCTAGAATTTTATCCTATTTTCTTATCAAATGGAAAATGTGGAAAGACAAAGCTCTGACTATAAAAAAAAGATACTTAATTTCACACTTCTAACCTCAGTTTTTATTCTATTAAGATAAGCTCCACATAGTAGAATGCTGGGCTGATATTTAAAAAGTAGCCCTCTCAGTTTTCAGATAAGGAAGAACTCCATTTTATTGATTATGAGGCTGACAAGCATCTTAAAAGAGGCAAATGCTCCAACAGGAAATCTCTGACTTAGAGCATTAATAATGCCTATTTCTGTACTGGAATGACAGGTGACACTTAGCTGTGTTCTTCTACTACCCACATTCATTATACATTTAAAAAGCTTTGATCAATCTAATTGAACCTCAATAAATTTTTTTGAATTTTGTATTTTTTAAATCTTTATTTTGTATTTTCCTCTTAAATGGGGGAATTTAGTAGGAACAGCCTGATAGATTGTTAGTGCCTCACAGGAAAATGTCTCATCCATTCTCATGTATTTCAATTGGTCCCATAGAAGACTTATGAGAGTCTGAAACAGGTCTCTAATGCTATTTCCTGTTGGCTCATTGACCTGAAAAGAAGTACTCTGGGAGATGGCTGATACTTCCGCAACCAAAATCATTGTTGTGGCATTCCAGTAAACTTTCAAGATACCTGGAAAATGTGATAACAAAAAATATAAACATCCTGGGGTGCCTGGGTGTAAGTAAGCACTTGCAAGTATAGGCTCCATATGCACTGTACATGTAGCCTGCTGGAATTTCCCATGGGTGGTTGTTTTCTGGGGGTTGTCCCAGCTTTTTTTTTTTTTTAATTTTAATTCCAGTACAGTTAACATACAGTGTTATATTAGTTTCAGGTGTAAAATATAGTGATTCAACAATTGTATACATTAGCCAGTGCTCATCACAACAAGTGCACTCCTTAATCCCCACGGAATGCCTTTTTTTTTTTTTTTAACTGAAGAATCTCTATGTATCTTCTGACAAGTGTTTCTCCAATTTCCTACCTGGCCAACTTAACTTTTCCCTCCTTTAGGATCTTACTAAGTGCATTTTTAGTATTTATAGTATAATCACAAAGTGTTATGATGACCTGTCAGCATATAAGCCTCCTTACCAGATTGTGAACTCCTAGAGGACAGAGAACCTGTCATCTTCATTTTTATATTTCTAATAGCTACGTATGTTAGGCACTCAATAAAGTCCACTGCAGGAATTGATGAGTTCTTGAGAAGGAGGCCGTTATCTTTCTGTTTTATAATGTTTCTGCACACTCTAAATATATGTACATATGTATATATGTACAGAAATTCTCATATACAAATGCCAAGTTTCACTGTAGGAGCAGCTTACCATCAGCAGGCAGGTTGCTAAGCAGGTCAAGGTATTCTTCTTTTTCCAGGTTAAAGCCCATATTTTTCATGAAGGGTCCTAACTTATTAACATTAAGCTCCACTCCTTAGGGAAAAAAAGGATGGGAGTGAGAAAAGCAAACAATAATAATGTAAAAAATGTTAGGCATGTCTGTGCATTAATTAGAGGGAGTACAACCAAAGAAACAATACATTTGTTTAAATGAAAAGAGTTATCATGGGAATCAAGAACAGAACCTGCTCCTCATTTTTGTCCAGAGGGATTTGACTATAGCTCTCATGAGACATTTATAAGTAGAAAATGAAAGGATTAGGCAAGTCTGGTGAATTCTGGTAAGACCCTGCCTTTATAATTCTACTCTGAAAATAGGACTCGAAATGAAATAATAAAGACAAAAATAATTCCTCTGAAGGTAGTTATGTTAAAAGTAGTAAATGACGAGACAAGAATACTTAATAAATAAAGAGGTTAGGTTGACAAATTTGTCATCACCAAAAATAAATGTGGCTTTTAAAATGTAAATGCAAAACATAAGGAGTCTCAGTTTTACCTGATTGCTCACTTACCTTTGAGAGACCTTATGTCACCCAGCAATCTATGCTCATACAATTTTCCAGCAGCTGTAAGACAGGGCACAATACAGTAACTGGTTAAGGGACCTGTTTTAATAATCCAAAACCTAGCAATTTCAGAAAGGACAATTCTTAAAATTTTACTCATTTTTTTTTCTGTTTATATCCCAACTTAAGAGTTAGACCAATGGCAGAAAGCTCTCCAGATAGTAAATCTACTCACCTTTTTATTTGACAATTGAAACAATTATTGGTGGTGTCTTGCCATACTTTTTTCATATCTCTTTTCATCTAACTCTCATTTTCTACTCTTTTGCATAAGATCACACATATTAATGCTCCCAAGGATAACTGTAGATATAGTGGGACTCATGAGTGAAGAGATGGATGATTTCTGAGCTAAACAACCTGACAACCATAATAGGACATCTTTGAATATTAGTACCGAACATTTCTACATGTTTTTATCAAATGGATATTGTTTTAGATATTTTCATTGACAAGCCCATGAAAATAAATTCCACAAGGTAATCCCTTAGTGAGAGCTCATCTGTTGCCATCACAGGCTTCATATTTTACAAAAATTCAAATATAGATTTCTATTCCTATGTAGATGATGCACTAGCATGAATTCCTGGCTCCTTCCCCAGAAATCAACCCTGAAGAAACTGAAGTCTGAGTAGAAACCTGGGTTCCAGGAATGAAGTGAAAAGCCACAGCGACACCAGTGGGTGATGGAAAGCTGTCCCAGTGTGAGTGTGTGTCCTGACAACCTAGAGTGGAGGGCTTATTAGCAGTGCGGTGAAAGGACCAATTGGGGAAATAGTAAAAAAAACTTCTGCCCTCACCTCTCTGTACTGTGACTCTGAGATTGCCATTGCCCACCGCTTTTTTTTTGCTGAGAAGTAGCAGCAAAAGCCTAGACCGCTAGTGCAAGTGGAAGGTAATTATCAGGGCAGCATATAAACCCTTCTGGAGAGAGGACTGGATGTAAACAGGTGAAGACTGACAAACTGCCTCAGGTATTTTATCCTCCATCTCTCAATCTTTAGAGCTGTTGGATTACAATCTATATTATAGGTTGCCTTCTTCCAACCCTACTTCTCTCTGAGTTTAGAGTGAAACTCTGACCAGAGGTGGTGCCTGGAACAATTTCAAATCAGGAAAATGATCAACAGTATTTGGGTCTCTCTGACCTGGGGCTCATCCCCTCCCTCTTTCTTAAGCCCAACAGGCTGATGTGGAGTGGAGCCTGACTTTGCACCTTTACCTAAAGCACATTTCCAAACCCAGTAATGATGCTGCAAGAGAACAAGGGCTCATAGGACTAAAGTAACTAGTCACCTGAGGAATACAACTACTTCAAAAACAAACAACAAACAAACTGAGTAACATATGCTTTTTGAATAAGAATTATTGGAATAAAAGGGCCAGAAATTTAAAATAAGCATATACAAGAGCACCTGGGTAGCTCAGTTGGTTAAGCCTCTGACTCTCGAAGTCAGCTTAGTTTATGATCTCAGGGTTGTGGAATTGAACCGTGTGTTGGGCTCCCCACTGAGTGGGGAGTCTGCTTGAGATTCTCTCCCTCTCCATCTGTCCCTCCCCCTGCTCCCGCTCTCTCTCTCTCTTTCTCAAATAATGTTCCCTAGCCACTAGACCTAGTGTCATTTTGCTAATTAGTTTGTGGCTATTCTGTAGTTCTTTCGTCCTTTTTTTCTTCTCTTGCTGTCTTCCTTTGTGAACTGATGATTTTCTGTTAGTGACATAGTTTGACTCCCTTCTTTTTAAGTCTATTTTAAGCAGCTTAACTTCAATTGCATACAAAATTTCTACCTGTTTAATCCCTCCCCACATTTTATGTTTTTGATGGCACAATTTGCATTTTTTATATTGTGTATCCATTAGCAAAGTATTGTAGCTATAGCTATTTTAAATACTTTTGTCCTCTAACCTTTATACTAGAGTTAAGTGGTTAACACACGACCATGTTACACATTAGTGGATTCTCTTCTGACTATGTACTTACTTTTACCAGTGTGCTGTATACTTCCGTATGTTTTCATGTTACTCATTAGCATTCTTTCATTTCAGCCTGAAGGACTCCTTGAGGCATTTCTTGTGAGGCATGCCAAGTGATAATAAACTTCCTCAGCTCTTGTCTGGAAATATCTCTTCTTCACTGCTGACGGACAATTTTGCTGGACTTTAGTGTATTCTTGGTTGACAGGTTTTTCTTTTAGCACTTTAAATATATTATCTCACTCTCTCCTGGCCTGCAAGGTCTCTGCTCAGAAATTTGCTGATATCCTAATGGAGGTTCCTTGGTAAGTGACAAGCTTCTTTTCTTGTTGCTTTCAAGATTCTCTCTTCATCTTTGATTTTTGATAGCTTTATTATATTATGTCTTAGCAAAGGTCTCTCTGGGTTGAATTTTTATTGAAAACTATGAGCCTCATGAGCTTGGGTGTTCAAATCTCTCCCCACATTTGGGAAGTTATTAGCCAGTTAAAAAAATAAGCTTTCTGTTCCTTTCTGCCTCTTTTCTCCTTCTGGTACTCTAATTATATGTAGATTATTTCTTTTAACGGTGTCCTATAAGTCCCATAGGCTTTCTTTATTCCTTTTCATTCTCCATCCTTTTTGCTCCTCTATTGGATAATTTCAAATGATCTTTCTTCAGGTTCATTGATTCTTTCTTCTGCTTGGTTCAGCTGGGTTTTTAAGCTCTGTATTGAATTCTTTAGGTCAGTAATTGTATTTTTCAGCTCCAAAGTTTCTGTTTAATTCATTTTTACATTTTCCATCTCTTTGTCGAACTTCTCATTTTGTTCTTGTATTGTTTTCATTATTTAAATTGTTTTTCTGAGTTCTCTTATAGCTGAGAACCTTTAGAACAATTATTTTGAATTCTTTGTTAGGCAATTTGTGTATCTCCATTTCTTTGGGGTCAGTTACTGGAAGTTTACTGTGTTCCTTTTGTGGTGTCATGTTTCCCTAATTCTTCATGATCCCTGCAGGCTTATGTGTGTGTCTGTGCATGTAAAGAAGCAGTCTCCTCTTCTAGACTTTATAGACTATTTTTGGTAAGAAAAGACCTTCACTTGTCTATAAGGATACACTGGAGTTGTGACTCTAGGTCTAGTGGTGTGTGGTGCCAAGAGTGGGGATGTGTGGTGGCTCCAGGTTTGGGGGTATGTGGTGTCTTGTCTGCTCATGTTTCTGGGGTCCACGACATCAAAAACTGCATGTTCCTTGGTGAGAGCTGTGAGAGATCCACAGTGGCTTCAAGGGCTTTTGGGGTCCTTGGCAGCACACACAGGTCCAGTGGTTAGGGAACAGGGAAGGTGGTAGTGGTGGCTGGAGCCAGTGTTTGCGCATGCTCAGCTGTGGGGGCTGGCTGCAAGTGCATCTATAACTGCAGGGGCTGCCTGCAGATACACTCCTAGTGATGAGGGTGGCTGGTTTCTGTGAACACAAAAACCTGTGGAGTGAAAACTTAAGTGGCAAAATCTGCAGGAAGTCTGCAGCGGCTGTTTTGGCAGTTGGTTTCTTCAGCAGTAAGAGCTGTTGGGATCCTCTGTGGAGCAGTCTGTTGGGGTCTGTAATGAGGTCCTCAGTGATGAAAACTGGGGGGTATTTTTAGTGTTTGCAAGGGCTGTTGAGGTTCTCAGCAGCAAAAACTGTGGACGTCATTTGCAGATGGGGTCATTTGCAGATGAGGCCACTGGGAACTATGATTGCTCTCACTATATGGTTGATACTGGTATCCCCTTTCCTTTTGCCTTGTTCTTAGTCATCTCTAGATGTCTCACTTTTGTGGGTCACTGGGTGAAGTGAAACCTAAGCAGGTCCTTTGTGTAGTGCCCCAAAAGTTTGGGGAAGCTGGTCATGCCGCCCGCTCTCCTTTTCTTGTGAGGGGAACTCTTTTGGGCTGGGGAGTTCCCTCTTGGCAGTGAGAAGTGCTGGTGTAAGGGAATGGGATGATGTAGGTAAAACAAAACTGTTCTTTTTACCCTTTTTTTGTGGTTATTCTCAGGGTGTTTTTGTTTGTTTGTTTGTTTGCTCCACTATGTTGCTTAGGGTTTTTTTTTTTTAATTAGCACATAGTGTTTTAATCACCTCTCTCCCCTACATTAATTTTTTTATTTTTTTACTTAAGGTTTTTAAGTGGATTCCTGAGCTCTCCCAGAGCTATTTTCATTTAAAAAAATATTTTATTTATTTATTTGAGAGAGAGTGAGAGAGAGAGAGCAGAGCAGAGACTGGGGCAGAGGGAGAGGAAGCAGACTTCCCGATGAATGGGGAGACTGATGTGGGGCTCAATCCCAGGACTCTGGGATCATGACCTGAGCTGAAGGCAGACGCTTAACAGACTGAGCCACCCAGGCGCCCCTGTGGATAACTGTCTAATTGTTGATCTTTGTTGGGAGAAGGAGGCTAGGGTCTCCTACTCTGCCATCTTGGTGACATTTCTCCCCCCAGAGTAGTTTCTTAAGAAATGATATTTACATAGAAAGTTTTTTTCTGAACCTTTTCTCAGAAAATGTCTTATTTTGAAATATGAATTTTATTCTCACACTTGATTGATGTGTTAGTGGGATATAGAATTCCAGGTTGGAAAAAATTTTCTAATAATTTTGAAGGTATTACACAACTGTCTTTCATCTCCAGGAGTTGTGAAGTCTAGTACCATTCACATACCCCGAAGTGACCCGCTTCCTTCTCTTTGGAAACTTTTATAATCCCTTTATTTCTGGTGTTCTGATATTTCACAACATACTCTGGTGTGAATCTTTTTCTACTCCTTGTGGTAGGTACTTGGTGAGCCCTTTCAATCTGGAGTCACATTCTTTCAGATTTGGAGACTTCTTAAAATATGATTTATTTTACAATTTCTTCCTCTATTTTCTTTGTTTTCTCTTTTTGGGAATTCTTCTATTATTCAGTTGTTGGATTTCTAGGATTGATTTTATTATCTTTTTTCTCCTATTTTCCATCTCTTTTGTCTTTTTGTTCCAATATTCAAATTCATCTTCTAGCCCTTCCACCCACTGAATTTCTAAATTTCTACTGCTTTTTTCCCCAAAGAGCTTTTAAAAAAATATTTTTAAGTGCTCCTTTTCCACAATGCCTCTTATCTTGTTGCATAGCCTTCTTTTCTTGTTTCATAACTAGGGATTTTCTCATCTTTCTGAAGATATTAGTTAAAATTGTTTTGAATTATTTTTCTGCTTTTTCCTTTGACTAGAGTATCCCCTCCTTATCTGCAGTTTTGCTTTCCCTGGTTTCAGTTACCTGTGTCAACTGCGTTCTGGAAGCTGATGACCTTCCTTCTGATGTATCATCAGAAGGTCAATAGTAGCCTAACGCTACATCACAATGCCTACATAATTCATCTCACTTCATCTCATCATGTAGGCATTTTATCATCTCACATCATCACAAGAAGAAGGAGGAGTAAAGTACAATAAGATACTGAGAGAGACAGAGAAAGAGGTCACATGTATGTAACTTTTATTACAGTATATTATAATTGTTTTATTTTATTATTAGTTATTATTGTTAATCTCTTACTGTGCCTAATTTATACATTAAACTTTATCATAGGTATGTATATATAAGGAAAAACATATAGAGTTTGGTATTATCCATGGTTTCAGGCATCCACTGGGGGGTTTGGAACATTTCCCCCAAGCATAGATGGGGATTACTGTATTTCCTCCAAGTTCCTTCTTTGCTGTCTTGTCTGTCTTTCATACCAGTTTCTGTTTCATAACAAGTCTGTTTCATAACAGACTTTTATTATATGTCATATGATTCTTGGTTGTTTATGTTTAAGGGCGAGGTGTTTTTGTTTTAGTAGTACAAATGTCTTTTCATTGCAGGCTGGAGATGTCAGTATCTGAATAAAGGATATTGGAATTCACTGCCAGCATCTAGGGAGGCCAGTGGGAGAAGAGGACTTGGAGGATTTCACCACGCATTATGTTGACTTTCACTTAATCTCCCTGTTTCAGTAGAAAATTCACTCCCAACCTTGGCTGTGTCTGATGTCCCAGAATCTTTCTAGTGTAACCTCTCTGGAGAGTAAATCTCTATGTGGCATGGATAAGAAATACTTGCTTAGCTGTGGAGTGAGGAAGGGGATCTGTAGATCACATTGCTCTTTTTAAAGACTTTCTACTTACTCAGCCATCAGAAAGGATGAATACCCAACTTTTACATCAACATGGATGGGACTGGAGGAGATTATGCTAAGTGAAATCAGTCACGCAGAGAAAGTCAATTATCAGATGGTTTCACTTATTTGTGGAACATAAGGAACAGCATGGAGGACATTAGGAGAAGGAGGGGAAAAATGAAGGGAGGGAAATCAGAGGGGGTGATGAACCATGAGAGACAATGGACTCTGAGAAACAAACAGGGTTTTAGAGGGGAGGGGGGAGGGGGGATGGGTTAGCCCGGTGATGGGTATTAAGGAGGGCACGTAATGCATGGAGCACTGGGTGTTATACAAAAACAACAAATCATGGATCACTACATCCAAAACTAATGATGTAATGTATGGTGATTAACATCACATAATAAAATAAAATTAAAAAAAATAGACTTTACCAATTCTTCTACTTTCAACTGTATTCACATTCCTGACTTTGGAGGTAACTGGTGCCTCCATTTCCTGAGCCTTTTATTGTTTTGTGACATGAAATGGCTGCCTTCTTCTTCTTTTTTTAAAAGATTTTATTTTTAAGTAATCTCTACACCCAACATGGGGTTCAAACTCACAACCCGAGATCAAAAGTCAAATGCTCTACTGACTGAGTCACCGAGTGCCCTTGAAGTGGCCTTCTTGTTTGCTTCCCCTTTCAGGCTCAGTTTGCACTACTTATGTTCTTTCATCCACTTTTTGGTTTTTGAAATTTAACTGACACCTCTTATCTGCTATAATGTTCTCTACTCTTCTCTTAGTCTTTGTGGATTATGGCTTTTTAATTTCTTTTACATCTTTTTAGTATTTTAGGAAGTGGTAAAGATAAATGCAAATATTAAAAAAGTGCAGTGTTTATCCAGAAGCTCAAAATATGTATCTCTGTCTTATCTACTCAACTAGATTATGAACTTTTTAAGTGCAGAGACTTTTATTTTGAGCAGTAAGATTCTGGCATATATCTTCATAGCTCCTGAATCTAGAAAAATGACTTAAATATAGAAATTATTTAAGAAACATTACTGGATTTTTGAAATAGAAAATCTAATAACTAATATCTTTATTTTACATTTTAAATATTTTAAAAAATTTCTTATATTTCCATAGCCTTCACTTTGTTTATCCTCACCATCATCATAGATAGGCATTGTTATTATGCTATTTCACAGATAGATTATATCTGAATTATTGATCAGATTGAGTCAAGTTAATAAAGTATTTCTCCACATAATGTGAATGTGTAATCTGTATTAGATCAACATGAAATTATACATGGTTCCCAAACTTGCCATGATAAGGTATGTCTCTTTGCCTTTTTCAGTGCTTTTATTTTTAGTTCTTGGCACCTCCTACCATCAAACTTTTCAGGCCTGTTTGAAGTAATAACCACTCTATGAAGCCTTAGAGAATCCAGGTATAGTTGGTAAATATCTCCTTTGTACTTTCATAGCAGTATAGATATTCATTAATATTACAGCACATATCATAGTGCATAGCATTTATTTTTATTTTATATGTGCTGTCCATCTCTACACTGAGTGTTTTTAGGACCTGGACTTTGTCTCACTTATCTCTGTAACTCAGAGCCTAGTATTATGTCTAGTCTGATGGCAACCAATTAACTTTTACTGGGTGGATGAATACCTCACTGGCAAATTAAACACTCACCATCAAGCGGCAAACTTTTCATCAACACAGTGTTTTCCTTCAGTCTGAGTCTTAACCCTATGTTTTTCAGAGTATTTTCCAGGTCTTCAGAGGTAACTTCTTCCCCTTAAAAAAGAAAATAATGGTAAAAGGTCAGATTTCAAGCTTTAAATCATCATCATCATATCAACTATTTTTGTGTAGCATCATTCTCAAATATAGGATAAAAAGCAATGGAAACATTAAGTGTTGTCTAATTACAGAAAATTAGAAAGGAGATTCAGAAATAGAACTTCTTCTTGGTAAAAGGGGATTCATCAATGTTGGGAACAAGGTACAGGATGCAGAAGGTTTGGTTTTTTAACAGCCCACTAAATTAACTGGTGTAAATAATTCTGCCTGCATGTAATATTTGCTCTATTGTTTTATTTTTGCCTAAATTATGAGTTTGTTCACATGGTCATATTACCTGTATGTGTAATTTGCCTTAGCATTTTGCTATTTGAACAGTAGAAAATAAAATTATATTGCTGAAAAACTCCAAAGAACATAGGCGTTGTTATTTATGCATTACACTGTGGCCTTTTGAATAAGAAGTAGGTAACAACTGATTATAATATTGAATAACATTTAATTTATAAGGTTGTTTCTTTAGTTATATATACATTACCAGTTAAAAGAGATATAATGACAGGATTAATATATCATGAATAGATAACAGAAAATACTTCAAGAATAACTTGTTTTGTTAAATATTAAGAGATTATTTTTATTATGCCTTATCACAATTTCTTCTCACTCACCTAGAAGTTCATGCACTTCATCCAGAAGTTTAACCATTTTAACTCTTCTCTCCTCTACAAGGCAAGACAAAATTTAGATATAGTCCTGCTAGGGACTGAATTGTGTCCCCTCAAATTTATATTTTGAAGCCCTAACCTTTTTTTTAAAAAAGATTTTATTTATTCATTTGAGAGAGAGACAGAGAGAGCACACAAGGAGGGGGAGAGGCAGAGGGAGAAGCAGGCTCCCCGCTGAGCCAGCCAGGAGCCTGATGTGGGGCTCCATCCCAGGACCTGGAAATCATGACCTGAGCTGAAGGCAGAAGCCCAACCATCTGAGCCACCCAGGTGCCCCAGCCCTAACCTCTGAGATGACTATTTGGGGATAAGGTCTTTAGGAGGTAATTAAGGTTGTGAGGTCATAAGGGTGAAACCCTAATCTGATAGGACTGTGACCTTAAAAGAAGAGGAAGATACCCCTTTCTCTCTCTGTCTCTCTCTTTCCCCCCCTGTGTCTCTCCCTGCTCTCCATCTTTTCTATTCCCTGCTATGTGAAGACACAGTGAGAAGAGAGGCTCTGCAAGCATGGAAGAGAGAATCCCCATCAGAAACTGAATCAGCTGGTACCTTGATCTTGGATTTCCCTGTATCCAGAACTGTGAGAAAATAAATTTCTGTTGTGTAAGTCACAGACTATGGTATTTTGTTATGGTAGCCTGAGTGGACTAATACAGGTCCCCATTACATAAAATTCTTAAACTGTGGAGTAAAGTATAAGGATTTACCAGTTGCCCAAAGATCCCCCCCAATTAGATATTTTATTTTCACACTATATAAGCACAAGGTTGAAAAAAATATCTAAATATGGTAGATACATCTACTCTATTCATTCAACTTTTTGTGTTCCTCATTCATCAGAATGGAAGAAGAGAATTTATTTTCATTTTTTTTAATATCAGCTTTATCTTCTTTTTTTTAAACATATAATGTATTATTTGTTTCAGAGGTACAGATCTGTGATTCAACAGTCTTGCACACTTCACAGCGCTCACCATAGCACATACCCTCCCCAATGTCTATCCCCCAGCCACCCCATCCCTCCCACCCCCCACCACTCCAGCAGCCCTCAGTTTGTTTCCTGAGATTAAGAATTCCTCATACCAGTGAGGTCATTTGATACATGTCTTTCTCTGATTGATTTATTTCGCTCAGCATAATACCCACCAGTTCCATCCACGTTGTTGCAAATGGCAAGATTTCAGGGGAGGAAGAATGAAGAGGGGGTAATCAGAGGGGGAGATGAACCATGAGAGATGATGGACTCTGAAAAACAAACTGAGGGTTCTAGAGGGGAGGGGGGTGGGGGGATGGGTTAGCCTGGTGATGGGTATTAAAGAGGGCACGTTCTGCGTGGAGCACTGGGTGTTATGCACAAACAATGAATCATGGAGCACTACATCAAAAACTAATGATGTAATGTATGGTGATTAACATAACAATAAAAAATTATTAAAAAAATAAAAAAAATAAAAATAAAATGAAAAAAATACCAGCTTTATTGAGGTATAATTAGCCAATAAAATTGTAATATATTTAAAGTGTACATCATGATGATTTGATATACGTATAACCAAAAGGAATCCCCCATCTAATTAACTAACACATCTATCACCTCACATATTTATCTTTTTGTGTGTGTGAGAACATTTAAAGTTTCTACTCTCTTAGCAAATTTCAATTATATAATATAGTGTTATCAACCATGTTTTACATTAGGTCCTCTGACCTTATTCATCTTATAGCTGAGAGTTTGTGTCCTATTGCCATTTTGTTCATAATCGTTTTCTGGCTGTTTCATAATTCCTTTGATCCTTTCTTCTCTTGGTCTCTTCCTTTGTAATTTATTTTCTTAGTGGTATGCTTAGATTCCATTCTCTTTATCTTTTGTGTATCCACTATAGGTTTTTGCTTTGTGGTCACTATGAGTTTTATTTATAAAACCTATTTATAACAGTCTACTTTAAGCTTATAAGAACTTAATACATACCAAAGGTATACATTTTTACTCTCTCCCCATTTTATAAAGTTTTTGTTCTCACAACTTAACATCTTTTACCTGTGTATCTACTAACAAATTAATGTAATTATAGTTATTTTTAATACTTTTGTCTTTTAATATTCATACTAGATTAGTGATTTATCCCCTACTATTACATTAGAATATTTTGAAATTAACTGTATATTTACCTTTAGTAGTGGAATTTATATTTTCATGTTTTCGTTACTAATTAGCATCCTTTTGTTCAAATTTGAAGAAGTTCAACACTTCTTTTTTTTTTAAGATTTTATTTATTTATTTGACAGAGAGAGAGACAAAGCAAGAGAGGGAACACAAGCGGGGGATTGGGAGAGGGAGAAGCAGGCTTCCCGCTGAGCAGGGAGCCCGATGCGGGGCTCAATCCCAGGACCCCGGGACCATGACCTGAGCTGAAGGCAGACACCTAACGACTGAGCCACCCAGGCGCCCTCCTTTAACATTTCTTGCACGGCTACTCTAGTAGCCTCACTCCTGAAGAGTGATGGACTCCTTCAGCTTCTGCTTGTCTGGAAAACTCTTAAAAAAAAAAAAAGATTTTATTTGTTTATTTATTCATTTATGAGAGAGAGAGAGAGAAAGAGAGAGAGTGAGCTGGGGAGGAGCAGAGGGAGAGGGACAAACAGAGTCCACACTGAGAAGCCTGACATGGGGCTCGATCTCACAACCCTGAGATCATGACCTGAGCCAAAATCGAGTCAGGAGCTTAACTGATTGAGCCGCCCAGACACCTCTGGAAAGCTCTTTATCTCTCTTTCAATTCTGAGGGACAACTTTGCCAAGTAGAGTATCCTTGGTTGGCAGTTTTTTTCTTCTCACACTTTGAATATAGAATGCCACTCCTCTCTGGCCTGCAAAATTTCTCCTGAAAAATCTGCTGATAGTCTTATGGGGGTTTCCTTGTATATAACACTTTTTTCCCCCGACACTTAAGAGTTCCTCCTTGCCTTTAACTTTTAACAATTTAATTTCAATGTATCTTCGTGTGGCTAGCTTTGCTTCATCTTATCTGGAACTTCCTGGATCTTGTCTGTTTCTTTCCTCACGGTAGGTAAGTTTTCCTGTCCTTTTCTCTCTCTCTTCTCCTTTTGGGAGATATTGTGTAGTGTGAACATTGGTTCATTTCCTGGTAGCCCATAAATCCCATAAGCTATCTTCACTCTTTTTCTTTTCGCTCCTCTGTTTGGATAAATTCCACTGCCTGTATTTGAGTTTGCTAATTCCTTCTTCCACTGATCTAGTCTGCTGTTGAACCCCTCTACTGAATTTTTTAGTTCAGTTATTTTATTCTTCAGCTCTGGGATTTCTGTTTGGTACTTTCTTATGTTTTCTATCTGTTGAAATTCTCACTTTGGTCATGCACTGTTCTCTTGTCCTCAGTGAACATCATTTTTATGATCATTATTTTGAACTCTTCATCAGGTAAATCATCTCCACTTCACTAAGGTCTGTTTCTGGAATTTATTCTTGTCCTTTTGTTTGGAACATATTCCTTTGCTTCTTCATTTTCCTTGCCTCTCTTTACTGGTTTCTGTATCTTACACAAAAGAGCTACCTCTTTTATTCTTAAAAAAGCTTTTTATTTTAAGTTTTTATTTGAATTCCAGTTAGTTATCATACAGTGGTTGTATTAGTTTCAGATGTACAATATAGTGACTCAACACTTCCACACATCACCCAGTGCTCATCACAAGTGCCCTCCCTCATCCCCATCACCGATTTGACCCAGCCCCTCACTCCCCTCCTTCTCTGGGGATCATCAGTTTTTTCTCTATAATAAGAGTCTGTTTCTTAATTTTTCTCTCTCTCTCCCTTATTTTTTTCCCTTTACTGTTTGTTATGTTTCTTAAATTCCATATATGAGTGACATCATGTGCTATTTGTTTTCTCTGAATTATTTCACTTAGCATAATACTCTCTAGCTCCATATATATATATATGTATATGTGTGTGTGTGTGTGTGTGTGTGTATACACACACACCACATCTTCTTTATCCATTCATTAATCAATGTCTTGCTAGACTGGTCTCATGTAGGAGATAAACCTTACTGTTCAGCTTAGCCTGAGCTCCTGGTTGTCTCAAACCTTTTTGATTAGCTAAGCTACCTTCTTTGTTTTCAGCGGCTACCAGTAGTTGAGGGTGTGCCAAGACTTGTCAGTGTTCCAAAATGGAGGAGCTCAGGCAACACCTAGATGTAGGCTGATTTTTTCATTTTTTAACTTGTCAAATATTTGCTGGATGCCTACATATATGCCAGGCCCTATTTTCAGTGCTGGCAATACAAAGCAAACAACATGAAGTCTCTGCTTCTGTGGCAGCAATTACTAATGTCAAAGCAACCACTGGGTTACAAATAATTTCAGGCCAAACAATAGAGCATAGCATTAAAACAGAAATTTATTTAAAGTGCTTTTACTATCTCTCTCTGTTCCTTGGATCTCTTTGGTTTCTTTGGTTATATATATATTTTTAAAGATTTTATTTATTTATTAGAGAGAGAGAATGAGAGATAGAGAGCACAAGAGGGAAGAGGGTCAGAGGGAGAAGCAGACTCCCCGCTGAGCAGGGAGCCTG